ATGACTAAAAATAAACCAAATACAGTATTAAAGTTAATCTTGAAGTTTAGTTTTTAAATATTGCTATCTTTTGAAAACATACAAACAAAAAAAGAGATTAATTTACAGAGAACAAAATTTAAAAGATGAAACTGATTCATTTTAAATATCATGTGCATATGTACCTGTCTGGGTTCTTTAAAAATTAAGGCTGTAATCACTACTTAGGCTTGGGGGGAAGGGGGGGCAGTTAGAAGGGGAGAAGATGAAAAACAAAATTTTTCTTAAAGTCCATTTTATGTGGAAGACAGTATTTTACAAGGATCAATGTCTAAGATTATTTTTTATCTTTCCTTCATTCATTTTCAGGTTTCATCTTTTTCTTCAAGTCAAGAGGAAAAGAATGGGATGTTATGACTACACGGGCATGTTATAGATAGTCTTTTCTGGAAGTAGGTTAGACAACAATATAAAATTCAAAACTAAACCCCGTCACGTTTCCCTCTAAGGTGTACTACAAAGTATTTACTCTGCAGGCTTTGAAAGAGTATATCGTAAATTTAGCACACACACCTTACCTGAAAGCTCCGTAAAGTGGTCTGTACCAACAGACAAAGGAACACGGCGTGAAAAGCAAGAACCACAGGATACTCAGTCCAAAATCAACCCCTCTCGTACCATCAACACAAAACCAAGCCAAGCAGCCGAAGATATTCAGAAAGAGCGTTACAGCGTGGACTGTGGAAATCAAGAAAACAAACAAGACAGAAAAGTTTACATCCAATTCATGAGTGCATCCGATAAAAACTATACATTTAAAAATGTATTTACTAATAACAAATGTAGTCTAGATGCCACGTTCCCATTCAAAATGCTTCAAAGCACTGCCAGGTCTCTCAAGGGTGCTTGGAGAGCAGCACCCTCGGGAAAGCCAGCTCCTGCGGACAGCACTCTGGCAGGCGCGCCTCTGGCCGTCTTGTTCTGGACAAGGGCTCAGTCAAGCCGGAGGAGTGGGCCCAGGGAGCTTCTTCCCTGAGGAGGCGGCACATGATGGGTCCCCAGACCCAGGGCCCAGCAAGAGGACTGTCTGCCAAGAAAAGATCTGACTCTCTGAACTAGGTTTTCAGAGAAGGGGCTGCAAAATCCTCCGCAACAGGGCTACCGAGAAGAGAAACTGCAGAAGTGCCTATGAAATATCATGATAACACATTTTTTCCATCAGTATAATTAGTTAAGACACTTAGACTAAAAAATGCTAAAGCACTAGCAATTTCCAGTGGCTATACAGTTATTCTATGGCATTTTTAAAACTGTGGCTGAGAATTCAGCTGCTGTGCTAGTCCCAGCCCTGCCTTTGGGGCCACACAAGGCGATCTCACAATGTCTTCATAGATAAATGTTAACGACTACTCTCCCTGACGGAACAAAAATAAAAATCTCCGAGTGACACGTAGCTCTATGACAATCCTCAAGAATGGCATGTATTCAGTATAGTTTATAGCATTTTCAAAATTGTTGCTATTTTTAAATGAATTTTCAGGCTGAATTTATTATATGAAATGAAGTCTTATCAACGTTAAATTAATATTCAATGTAAATTAGTCATATAATAAGAATCTATCAACTACTACTGGTTGACTTACAAAGAGCAAAGAGAAAACCTATCAAATCTGAATGGAAAAATCTCAACATACATTAAAACCAAATTGTTAAATTTCATTGATTTATAAAGAAGCCTGAATCAAATAAAATTGATTATCAGCAAAACAGGATAAAACCACCAAGTCTAGGAAGCCTCTCAATTTCCTCTCCTGCAATCACAAGCCCATTTGTTAGCAGAGTCCAGAGCAGCAGAAAGAGCTCCGAGGACGAGGACGAGGACGAGTGAGGACAACAGTGTCTGACACCACGGAGCAATCACCAGCTCGAGGGAAACCTCTGCTTTTCAGCGTTACAAATGAGGGCCTTGCAGCTTTCAAACGCCATTGCATGCTCTCACACAAGAGACTCTAATTACTTTAGTCCCACTGGGAATCTTAATTCTCAAGAAAAATAATTTATTAATAAGTTTACTCAAAAATTATTTGCTTAAAAAATAAAGGTGGTTTTGTAAGGGGTTTCAAAAGAGAACTTAAGATAGCACATTATTACAAATTACTCTCTAACACTGAAAGTCATTCAGCTACCTGAAAACTGTTTTTTAACGCTTTAGAACATTCTAATTCAAATATCAATCTGTAGAGAAATAATTTGTAAAGGCCCATCTGCCAGGTCACTTAAGACAGGAGAAATATATGGGTTTGTGTGGGTTTTAAAGTTCACAAAAATCCTTTCAAGTGCAGATAAAAATATCGATTTAATTCTGTGTCATCTATTAAAGTTAATCAATGTTCTAATAGTATTAATAAGCCATAATCAGTAGGTTATTTGCTCCACAATATACCATAAAATGTCTAAGCCTATTATTGAGTCATCTGTATTTTATGAAGAGATTAAAAAAACAGAGAAGCAACCTAATGTGTAATGCATAATTATAATTATACGTTGCTAATTTCAATCTACTCACGTGAGGGTTGAATTGCTGCTTGAATAAAGAAGTCTTGAGGGCACTTTGTTTACATTATTTACAAGTTGAACAACTCTCCAATTTGCTTATTGGAGCTCTCAAATCTGCTAACAGTCATTCTATTGCAACTATTACTATAATATTCTCAACAAATTCTGCATTATAATATAGACATCTAACATAAATAGCTTTATAACACTGTATCTTCATCCCTCACAAAATGTTCTTTAACTTACCTGACTTGTTTTCTTTTTCATATCCAAAACTATACTCAAGAGTTTAAGCTTCATTTCACAGTTATTTCTGATTGTATCAGTTCATTTATAGGATCAATTATTTTTATATCAGGTAGAGGGCTTTTGCAAGTATATCTTCATCATATTTGGGTTTACTTCTTCATTTTGATACATTGTAGGTGTTATACCAGGGAAACAAAGAGTAAAAGGATCCAGCTCCAAACTTACTCTATCCAATCTTGAGCAAATTATTCACATTCTCTAATCTTTACTTTCCATAAGGACCAGGACCCCGGGTGATGTAGTGGTAACTAGTTGGGCTAACCATGAGGTCAACAGTTTGAAACAAGCCACTCCCCGGGAGAAAGACAAGGATTTCTACTGCCATAGAATTCCGGTCTTGAAAATAAGGGCAGTTCTACCCTGTCCTATAGGGTCGCTATGAGTTGGAATCGATTAGAAGGCAGCAAGTTTGGGGCTTTTATTTGTTTGGGGAGGGGGGATTTTACTTTCCATTTGCTATGAATCCACTTAATAAAGTACCTGTTCTTCATCAGTGGTTAGGATGTAAATGACAGTGTATATAAAAGGATTAGCACTATGCCTTACACAAAGTAATTTCTTGATAATGACTGGGTTTCATTATAATTATTAGAGAGGGACAGCATTAGTCCAGTCCCAAAACAACAATAGGCTACCTGAAACTTTTCTGAAGGTTTACAATAGACGTAAAACCTTCCTAAAAGGCTTCTGAACCAGTCTACACTCCAAGCTGGTACATCATTTTCTGTTTCAGTTATACTTCTGATTTGATTTTAAGCCCCTTTTTGCAAGATCTGTCAACAAAGCATACATTAGGAGTGCAACAAAGAGATTTATCTCTAAGAAAAAACGGAACCAATTTTGAAAGAATCAGCAGTGGAAAAGTAGCGAACCACTTATCATTTCCATTAACCTAGTTCATCATTCAAACTCTATTTACTAATAAACTCACTATACAATTTCCTTCCAATCTCCAATGCTCCCACACAACACCCCCCAAGAAAATCCCCCTACTGAGTGAAAGAATTTATAGCTAAGATGTTTCTGCCCACTAAAAGACTCTCTCTCATATTGTATTCAATTACATTAAATATATTTCTGCATTACATAGCATGTAAACAGAACTGTAACTTTAAGTATTGAGAAAAATATTATTGACACTCAGTAAAAGATAAAAAATAAAATCTGAAAAAGGAACTGAAAGTAGAGTTTTAAATGCTTTATCCTTAAGAGATGAATCACTTCTCACATTCCAGGGCAGCTTCACCTATGTAAGAAATGCTCATAAAATATTCTGAGGAAATTGATCTCATCTGTTTAGGAAAACAAGTAACTACAAGCTATCCATTTACCTGACTGTTGGGCAGGTAAGAAACCATGACAGCCACCTGCCCACTGACTGACATGATGTTATTACGTGGGACTGAGATGGGATGACATGATTTATTACAAGGGACTGAGATAACTACGTACACAGACAAACTTTTAACAGCTTGAGTTTTCTAATTTTATATACCATGAGTTCTAATTATGCTTTAAAATCTATTCAACAATACTCCCTATTAGCAATCAAGACACTTCAATTGTAAAAAGTATTTTCATCATTTGAAAATGAAAAGTAAATTGTGCTAAAAGCTATTTTTAGAAGACAGTTCATAGTATTACAATTAAGGCTCTTTTAAAAAGTCACAATGCCTACATTTAACAAAATTCTAAATGCTCTTGCTTAGCACAAAAATAGTATCTATAATTATTTTCAAAGTAAATATTGCCCCAGTAACATTTTCCACAGAAAAAGATCATTATAAACTATGATTACTAAGACAGAAAAGTCACTCTTTCCTCAAAAGAATGAGTTCTTAATAGATACATTTTCCTTGGATACATATCCTTGTTATCACACACAGTCTTAAAGGCCTGAGCATTATGTTTTACTTTGGAGATTATGATTCCTTCCAAATAAACAGGAAAAGGAGACTGAGTTACTACCCTAACATTAATACAGGAGTTCAAAATAGGGTGGATCTTGGCAACAAAAGGAACATAAACATATTTTATACTCACACATCCACAAGTAGTACATAATTTTTACTGTCTTTTGGAATTCTACAGGAATGTCTACAGAAAAATCCTGATAGAAACAAGGTCCAACAGGAAAATTGCCAGGAAGAGGTGGCCAATTATTTTTTCTGCCTGTAGATTAAAAGAAAGTTATGTACATTAGGGCAAATATGTGCTAATCCTGTTATTAGCTTCATAGCAAAGAGCTCTATCTATTCTTTAATAAACATTATAAAATACAATAGTATATCCCTCTATCCCTACAATTCTGAAAGTTGTTTTCCTTTTTGTTCAAAATTTTCAGCACATCACTTTAGAACACCTTAGATGGCAAAATACTTTCCCAGTATCGTGTAATATTTAGTACGAATCATCTATGTACAGACGGGTTTGAAGCACAAGGACAGAAACCATCACTCTTCCCTGAAAAACACGTGTCTTGAGCCCTAGTTTTAAACCCCTCAGCATTTTAAATTCTGAAATGGAACTGTTCTTTCCGTAACTCATGTGAACAAGGCTGGCTAGCTTCTGAATCGTTCAAGTTTTTGACTGCCAGATTCTATGAAGAAACACAAGAATCAAGCCAAAGAATCCAACTTGGAAATCTCCAAATCTAGAAAAAGCAATAATATCCACAAGACACAAGTGAGCAAAACCACAAAACTGCGAAACCACGCGCCTGCCATGAGCAGGAAGCTGAGGGACTACAGCAGTCATAAACCTGTGGGATGGAGCGACCGCACTATGAGGAGAAAACTCGACCTATATGGAGAAATGTGATTTTAAATGGGGCATGGGACATGGTTGGGGAAATGAAAAATAAATTTAAAGCCGTAAGATAAAACATGGTAATAGAGAGTAAACCTGCATCTAAAGGTCACTCGCTGAATTTAGATGTTTCCCTACGCCTTTTTAAAACTCCATTTTACACACATCTTTCTTAGAGCAGACAAATTCTGTATACGGTGGAAAAACCCATGACTTCCGATTCTCCCCGTTACCACTATTGCGCCTCCCGTATTACTCAAAGTTCATACAGTTTGTCTCGTTCTCCTCCAGAAAGCGCAGACCAGGTGAAGAACAGAGGGAACAAGTAAGCCACCTTTCACAAGCTGTCTGGAGGATTAAAGGAGAGTGCACAACTACACTAACATACTGAGAGTCTAACTCTTCATTTTCTATTCCTCCTTACAACCTGGACTAAAACACTCGTAGAAATCATTTATATTAGTCAATGCTACGGCGACAGGATACATTTTAGGTATAGGTCTCTGAAAACCATTAGTCTGAATTAAACCTTTAGCTTCTCCTTCTGTTAGCTGCTGTCTCTGGTGTTGTGAAAAAACGACTTGGGATAAAAGTAACACCATGAGATTTCCACATTCTAAGGAAGAGACAGGTCAGTGCATTATCTTATTGCCTTGGCATTCCACCACTATCCCAGGCACACAACAATGTCCTGCCTAGTCCTCTTTTCCCTTCTCATCCAGCAAGCACTACCTTCCCCGAAAATAACAGTCTCTTGAATTAACCTTTCGGAGCCACTGCCTGAATATTTTCACAGCAAATCATCGATTCTGCACATTTTTATTTCTTGGGCATCATTTAATAAACCTGCCTTGGGGAATTTGATCTGGTATGTTTGTGGGGTCAGAGAGCAGGTAACTTGGCATTGATCTGAATAACCCAGAGGTCAGAGTCAACTGTGGGTGCACTCCCATGCACTCAGAAGGGTACAATAGACCCAAAGAGGGCCCAAGTACGAAACCAAAGCTTTTTGGCTTTAGAATAAACTAGAATTACCAGGTGCACATTCCCCTTTATGTGCTGAGGATACCATTGTTCTATCCATCAGAAGGCTATACAAATCAGCCAAGAGCAGAGGGCTACAACTTATCCAGTAAACAATCTGTGGTATCCGATCCCTGCTAGAACAGGAAAACAGGGCAGGGTTTTATCCATAAACCCAGCGACCCAGATCTAGTGCAGGCATCATTTAAAGTGTTTCAAAGTTCATCTTATTTCAAGGTTCTTTGCATACTACCATGTTGACTGAGGTTTTGCATTTCTCGTTCCCGACGATCTAATTCTGCTGCTTTTCTTTCTAGTTCTTCCTGGCGTTTAAGGAGTTCTGCTTGGGCCAAGGCATGTTCCTAAATAAGAAGCATCAATAAAACATTTAGACAGCATCTCCTATAGCTCTCTGCTGTACTAGTTCCAATGATTATCTAAAATACAGGAATTATTGAAAATTCATGTTTCCAAAAATGTAACGGGGTTATAAGGTCTACTTTGATTCAATGAAAACGCTCAATGGAATGAATGTTGGGTCCAAAAGGACACGAAAAACCTCTCTCCATAAGAGAAACCTGCTGTAAGCTAATTGGGAAAACAAAATTATTTGGGGGATTTGGAAAACAAAGTAATCTGCCATAAACTAATTGGAAGAACAAAGGTGTTATCTCTGTGCCTAAATGAACATGAAGAACAGAAGGGCAGGGAAACAGCTGCATTGGCTCTTGTGGTAGTTACATAATCTGCTGTCAACTTGAGACTATTGAGAAGGGGTGGAGTTTACCCCGTCAATCAGATCACAGCTTAATGACCTTATTTGGAAGCACTACAGAGAAAAATAGCTCGCTGGAGGTGGGATGCACACACTCTCACATACAGTCTCCCTGCAAGATATTACTGTTGCTAAACCACATGGAGACACACCGATGGAGCCAGAGCCCTGGAGCTGGAGGAGCCATGAGGAGACCCACGACAGCACTAGGATTCTTCCACCGCCACTGGATCTATAAGACTTTGCACCCACTGGCCCGTGCTCTTCCTGCATTCGACATTCCTGCATGGCTGTGTGAGTCTAAAGAGGAATTTATGGACTAGTAATGGACGTATGGGCTAATATTGGACTTATGGACTTGATCTGGATGAGCTGGGATGTTTCTTAATACACAATTGCTCTTTTATATAAAGCTTTTTCTTCTACACACGAGTGTCCATGAATTTGTTTCTCTAATCTGCCAGGACTAAAACAGCTCATCAATGGGGTGCAATGGAACATAAGGGATCCAATGAAGGAGTATCATGTGATAGGTGATAACTATAAGATCATGAGATCAAAAGTGAACATGCCTAAGAAATCCTGGTCTATAATTCCATTTTTCCATGGAATACCAGGAATTCTATTCCTCTCCTCTTTTCTTGGACTTGTGGACACTTTATCATACCTCCTACCATTGTTGAGCCATCCTAGCACTCTCCGGGCACCTATTGGTCTATCACTGTTCTTGTGCTGATATTGGGCATTAAAAAGGGAAACCAACAGCTACCAAAAAAACTGTCTCTATACAAAATGTAACAAGGTAACTCCTCACTATGACTGCTAACAACAGAAGAAAGAAAATGCTATAAGCTAACAACGAGAACCATAGAGCTGACAAGCTGACTAAACCAAACTCAAAAGCATGTTGAAATTTAACCGTGAAGGAATAAACAGATTAAAGAATTCTCTTGCTCAAAAATCAAATGTTTAAAAAACTAAAACAAAAAAACAAAATAAAGACTTTCATACCCAAGGGAACCGATTTTGGCGGGTAGGGGAGGGAAGATAAAGCAGTAGACTAGACAATCTTGGGTGACGTAGAAGATGGTCCACAAAGAGAAGAGAAATCACGGAGCAGGGGAAGGGCAAACTATTTGGGGGT